CTGGATGTTCTACATAATCGGCATAAACAAGCCTGATTGTGTAGCTGTTAGAGTAGCACCTAAAAAGTATCAAGACTGGGGTTCCAAGGTGTAAGCTCCTCCTTGGAGAAACAAGTGATAACTTCTTGCCTGTGTCTGTGCTCCCTTCTTCCCTGAGGTGACCAGACAATTTGGTGGCAGGAATAAACATTGTAAATATTATCTGTACTGGCCAACAAGGTGGATGACTTCATCATACACTGCATTTTCTGGACAATGTCTTTAACAGCTGGAATATAATCAAGTGTTTTTTCTGATCTTTTACAGGTAGTGAACATAGTAACAAGTAACCAAGAATGTGTTAATAACATTGCTGAGGCAATGGTTCTTGCTAACTTACTGGCACTGCTGCATTCCTTACCTTCAAGTACGTACCATGTAATTCATAGTCTTGCAAGGCAAAGGGTTTCCAACTTGGTAATTAATAAGAATGCAACTGTCTTACTACTTTTAGGTTAAAACAGCATTTCAATGGGGATGCTTAAAAAAATGTTCTATGTAACCTGGTTGTTGTATTAAATGTGTGAGCTGAAACATATGAATTGCAGGTATTCGAGTTGTGTTTGAATTGTGTAGTATTACTACTTAAATTCCCTAAAAGAATTAGTCAAGTAAAACATCTAATTAAGAAGTTTGGCTATACTAGAAAATATGATTGATTTGACATTCCTTAACTAACTGAATTTAGCCAGAAGTTCCTAAGCTTGCAATTGTCATAACCTTTATTGCAGTTTTGATACAGCTTTCTGTGAAGATCAGTTTAGTTCATCTTTGATTAGTTAACAGTCTATATGGCACAAAGTTCTTAATATTTCTTATTTTGACAGGTCGGCAACTCGTCCTTGAAACTTTGTATGCTTTGACATCTAGCACAAAAATAATTAAAGAGGCCATGGCAAAAGGTACAGTACTACACTGAAAACAAATGTTTCTGCAACACTGGATGTAAATACAGTGGCCAAATGGTACTCGTCCCTTTAGAATAATCAGTGTGGAACTGGTGAATTCATACCACTTGTGACCAGGAAAAAGTTTGACTGTTTTCCTGCCTCTCTGTACAGGTGCTTTAATCTACTTACTAGACATGTTTTGCAACTCAACTCATCCTCAGGTCCGAGCCCAAACAGCAGAGCTCTTTGCCAAAATGACGGCAGATAAGCTGGTGGGTCCAAAGGTAAGAATCTTGACAGCTCATGTTGGAACTCTTATCCTGGTATGACCAGCCTCTCTCTAAAGACAGAACAGAAAAAACCTCTTCTGTGACCAAAACGCTTGTGAAAAGCAATCTGTCTCTTTCAAAATAGTTAACCCTTAATCTGTGAGCAGACTTCCAGAAGCGATTGTATTTACTGTAACTACCATAAGTAGTTTACATCTGTAATGGCTTTAACACAGATCCCTAGAATTCATGTCTGTCATGGGCTAGCGCTCTTTAAGTGATAGCACTGTGTTATTTTCTGGTGGTGTGTTCTAGCAGTTGGCATGATAGCACTACAAATTACTGGGCTTCTGGAGTTCTCTGTTTTGTCAGTTAGTTTGACTTATGGTATTCTAAATGTCAATTCTGTTCATCCTTTCTAGGTTAGAATTACACTAATGAAATTTTTACCTGGAGTCTTCATGGATGCCATGAGGGACAACCCTGAAGCTGCTGTTCATATCTTTGAGGGAACTCATGAAAATCCTGAGTTAATTTGGAATGACAACTCCAGGGAGAGAGTATCAACAACAGTTCGAGAAATGATGCTTGAGTATGTGGAGACCTGCTGACTAAGTATTTCCTTAACTGAAACGTTCTTTTAGTGGCAGTCAGCCAGCGCTGCCATAGAAGAAGCATCAGACGGAGCTCTGCCATAAAAAGTAGAATCCTTGCAAGCCAGGCTTCAGTGAAAAGAAACTTGTTCACTGTTTGTGTATTTTACCCGTAGCTCAGTGACACAAGTGCAGTTTGTGCACAATCCAGGTATTTACTCACTGCTGTAAGATTTGGGAGGGGGTTACAATGAGGAGAAAATTTGGGTTTAGAAACTGGAACTAATTCACAATGATGGAAGGAGACAGGCGTCAAGTAAGGAAGACGACTGCTGCTTTTACTGCTTGTTAAAACTTACTTTCTTTTTAAAGGCACTTTAAACTTCAGAGGGACAATCCTGACACTAACTGGAAGGTAAAAGTCTACTCTTTCTTCTTGGGGTGTGTCCAGGGAGACCAGGAGCCAGCTGATAATATATGCATGTTTGTAACTCTGACAGGCTTTCCTCTTAAAGTACCAGCAGGAACTCACTGCTGTGCTAACACTAGTTTTAGTATTGAATTGATGCTTTTGTTACTCCTTATACCTTGAAATCAGACACTTCATGGGCAGTGGTTTTGCCAGTAATATTCTGAATTTTCTGATTGTTCAGTTACCAAAGGTCAGCAACAAAGGAGAATATGGGTTTGCTGATAGAAGTCCTGTCACGTATTACATAGCTGTAGTAAACTTGCTCTTGGTAAATATTCATGAATGCTTCTAAGCCGCTGAGTGTCAAAAATTATTGTCCTGAGCCATTCCATCACATCAGGTCAATCAGTGAGATGTTTCAGCCTGTAGTATTTCCCAATATCTGTGAAAGGCCAGGCATATGACTTCCTCCCAGCAGTGCTCTAGTTCCACATTAAACCAGCTTCTAAACACATGCAGGATGGCTGCTTTGATGTGGGTGTAAACTGGAAGCTTCCCTAGGTTAATAGTGAGAAACCTTCCTCTGAAGTGTGCAAGGAAGAAAGGGCAGGGCTGTGTTATCAGCCTTGTTGCTGGTGCTTCTCTTGAACTGGTGTTGAGCACTAGTATAGTTGTAGACTAAGTTATTGTGTTCCTTGAAAGAAAAGTCTACTATAGTACTGCCTGCACTGTTCTTTCCCTTCTCACTTCTTGCCTCGTGTTTCTTCAAGATGAATTGTTAGTTGATCTTGCACAGCTCTTTTGAAGAATAGTTAGTTCAGTGACCTTTTACCACTCAGAGTCAGGTGGTTAGAGAAACAACTACAACTCTCACAAATACCCTGCTAATAACTCCTTCTACTTTACAATTCATCAGCTGCCTGAAGACTTTGCTGTGGTGTATGGTGAGGCAGAAGGTGAACTTTCAGTCGGGGGAGTCTTCCTAAGGATTTTTATTGCCCAGCCGGCCTGGGTTTTACGGAAACCAAGAGAATTTCTCATTGCACTGTTGGAGAAGTTTACTGAACTACTGGAGAAAAATAACCCCCATGTAAGATAATTTTTCTGATTCTGCTCTTTAAATTTGTTTAGCAGTCTTAAGCTACTAATCTTTTAGTATCTGATTTTGATTCTCACACTTTCTTCCCAACATGAGTGATGTTTTTGTCTGCTTTCTGACTCTCTGTTAAAACATGTAGATATGTTTAGGCAACTTCTGAACATGAGTCAGTGCTTTTAAAGTCCCTGAGGCCACAGAACTAGCTTCAGTAAGTCTTAGAGGCTTATTTTGTGGTAGAGATGAGGCTTAACAAATGAAGTGTCTTTAATTATTCCATGACTGACCAACCTAAGAAAATGGCACTTGTTGTACACTGCCTAAAAATTTTCAGCTCTTGACACTTCTAGTGTCCTGCAACACTAACTTCCCACTCCGGTGTAAATTATGTGACCTATACAAGGCTGCCACCTAACAATTAGTGTAATGTAGTAGAACTAATGTGTTACTGTTTGAATGAGAACCATGTTCAAGTCAGTAACTTAGTTACTAATAACTGAATTTTAAAAAGTGCTCAGGTGGATTCTGGGTTAGACTTTGCAAGGGAGGCAACTGACTTGCGCAGGGAATAAAGCAGGCATCTTTGTAATAAGATGTGACAGCAGTTTGTATAGGCATGCAGAATGCAGCGAGGGTGGCGAGTGCTGCTGCACGGACTGCAGAACCTGGTGAGGCATTCAGGTGCTCAGCCTAAACCTCTGTGCTGTCGTGCTGCCACTGAGCAAGTTAGCACGTGTGTTGCTGTGCACGCAGAGGCTGCAGCCAGACACTGCCTCCTCTGGTTACTGGAAACAGAGCTTAGAAACTTCTGTGATCTGTGTTCATGAAACTAATGCATGTCTGCTACTGTTGGAGCTGATCATGTTCTTCTACACTTCTTGTTTTAACAATTGCAAAGCAAAGTGACATCATAAAAGCACTAAGAAAAAAAAAACTATAATGCAGAACAAGCGAGAAGTGTTACAGTTATGGTGATACATAAGGCTTTACTGAGTTACATTTTCTGTTGGGTTTTGGTTTTCTGCAGGGGGAAACTTTAGAAACCATTACCACAGCAACTGTGTGCCTGTTCAGCGCCCAGCCTCAGCTAGCTGATCAAGTTCCTCCCCTTGGCCATCTTCACAAGATAATCCAAGCTATGAATCACAAGAACAACGCCATTCCTAAAAGTGCCATTCGTGTCATGCACATATTGTCTGACAATGAGGTACCGAATCGTTTGAAGTGCTCCATGGTGTTACTTGTATTGTTTAGTAGTGTTCCTAGAAGGTCACTGGTCTGACTATAAATACCTGTACCAGATGAGTGGGGACTTACAGCTTATTAATGGGGAATTGATAGATTTAAGACACTGAGAAATTTAGTCTTGGCTGACTGTATCTGCCATAACCATCAAGCTTAGCATAAAATAATGTCCTCTGGATGTTCCTGTCTCTCTATAGCTTTGTGTTCGAGCGATGGCATCGCTAGAGACTGTTAGCCCTCTAATGAATGGAATGAAGAAGAGATCGGATATAATTGGTATAGCCTGTGAAGCACTTAATCGAATGTTTCAGAAGGAACAAAATGACTTAGTTGCCCAAGTAAGTACTATATTTGCAGTCTGTAAAAATGTGATATTTTTATATTTGGCGCTCTCATTTGTTCATAAGAACAGAGGTGTACTGTTCAACTTTAGTGTCCAGGAAGCTTCCCAGAAGCCATGTTACTAATGTGCTTTTCATGTTAGAGGTTGGAAGTTGGTCCATTATCCAAAACGTGGAGCTCCTCAAGGATGCTACCCGAGCACTGAAGCTTAATGCATAGGATAGTGCTGGCTTGTGTCCACTGAGAAAGTGTGACATAGGAATGCCAGATAATTCAGATGGGTTTACTCCTAGACAGAGCAGGACTGATGGAGAGTATCTTTGCTTTCTCTTATATGTATGTATACAACTCAGGAAAAACTGACTAGTTAAACATACTTAGCAATAGCTGTTGGCACTTTTGGTTCACACTAATGCTAGTAATGTAAAATATCTGTATGTAACTTCCTGGTCCCTTTTAAGACAACTCATTTGGGTATGTTTGCAGGCTTTGAAAGCAGATTTGGTCCCTTACCTTTTAAAGCTGCTTGAAGGTATTGGTCTTGAGAACCTGGAAAGCCCATCTGCAACAAAAGCTCAGATTGTTAAAACTCTGAAATCCATGTCCCGCAGCCTGCAGTATGGAGAACAGGTAAGTACTGACAAGTCCTTCACTGGGCTTTGTACACTTGGGAGATCAAACTGTGAACATCCCTTGTTTAATCTTATGGCCATCATGCATCATTCCACCTCAAACATTAACATCATGTAACTACAAAATCACTAGGCATTGGAATGTCTCCATCTTTTTCTTGTGGAGAAGTCATTAGTTCAATGTGTGTGAAAAGCATTAATAAAGACAAATACCTAGTGCAGAAATGTTCTATAAGCTTGTCGGCTTCTACTGACAACTCTTCAGAACTGTTAGAAATGCAAATACTTCTTTGTTTCCTCAATAAGTGCTGCTGTAGACAACTGTAGTGGTATTATAGATATATATTCAAATTGGTAAAATTTGTCCCAGTGACTGTGCTAGCTCTTGGTACCTTTCTCTTACCTTGTGTTAAAGGAGGAAAACTGGGGATAGGCCTTCCCTCCAAATTGGCCCTATCTTGCTGTAGTACAAGAAGAGTCCTGTTCTGCCTCAACTCTAGATACATGGCCAGTGGCTGCTTGGAGGGTGTCGTGGTTTTTTAAAACCATGGTTACAGTTTTTTCCTAAACACCTGGTGGGCTGAGGCAGGGAACTGGGAGGGTTTCACTCACCACTTAGGGTCACGGGCAAGAGACCGACACTACTCGTGAAGAACAATAAAACAACTGAATGTATTAACTATTTACAATAAGAAGCAGGATATCGAAAGAGAGAAACCACATCTTACACAAAAAAGGCACTTCTCCCGCATCCCTCCCTTCGTCCGAAAGCCCAAAAGCTTTGTTCCGTCCCTCCCCGGCAGCACATGGCGGGGGGTAGGGAAGATGGGGCTGCAGTCGGTTCGAGC